CCTATTGGGACTAGGAGGTATGATGACACAGCAGAACAGCCCTTTTTGAGGAAGCATGCATCAAGAAAGCAGAAGCAAATTATTTCTTTTTTTTTCCCCTTTTTTCTTTCTTTTTTTTGGGGGGGGGGATCCGGTCGTGGGCCTGAACTCTGGGCTGGGCGCTATCCCTCAGCTCTTCAGCTCAAGGCTAGCGCTCTACCACTTGAGCCACAGCACCACTTCCAGCTTTTTTTTTCCTGCTTATGTGGTGCTGAGGAATCGAACCCAGGGCCTCATGTATGCAAGGCAAGTGCTCTACCACTGAGCCACCTTCCCAGCCCCGAAGCAAATTATTTCTGCGCTTAGCTTTCAACGCTTTAAGATTTGGAAAATTAGTGTTTGTTCTCACTAGCTATTAAAGGTGCAGAAAACTCAGAAAAACACAAACCAGAGGAAGAGAGACATAGTCACCATGCACTGTTGCCCCCTCCCCCCACCAGGCCTGTCACCACTGTTCACACATGGCCTGGGCAGGAACCTGGAGTGGCCAGGGCCAACTTGCGGTCCACCATCTGGGTGAGGGCCAAGTCCACGTCCACTTGTCAGCGTTCCTGCTAGCGTGGCCATTGGCGCCTTTCCCCTTGCTGTGGGCACATGTGGGTGCCAGCTGCCCAGGGCCACACACGCGTGGCACACACCCAGCACCTGTCCTGCAGTAGGAACACCGACAGGACACGGAATGCACACCGCCACTGTCCTCGCCGCACCACTGAATGATGGAATGGATGTAACTCCTCTAAGTGGAGAAATAGCTGGCCGGGTTACCTGCAGCCGCGCTCCTTGCTGCAGTGCCCAGGGCCTGCAGTGCGCACTGCTCACAGTGCTTACAGGACACCCTCAGCCCTTACCACCTGCGTGCTGACCTGAGGCGGCTGCCTGAAGACAGGAAGCTGCTCCATGACTATGTTTAGTCTTGAGTTTCAGTCTGTCTGGCTCCAAACCCCCATGCTCCCCTCCAGATCTCACACCTCTGTACCTCATTCTATTGGAATGAATCCGTTTGCAAGCCAGCCAAGCCCAGAGCCTAGGGTTCACAATCTAGCATCCCTCAGATGTGCAGATTCCAAAATTGCTTCTTTGGGATTTCAGAAGAGAGACAGAGTGTATGTGTGTGTGTGTGGACTTGCAAGTCACTTTTTGGCCATGGCCCTTTGTTGCCATAGGCCGTGGTGCGTGAGGAATGTGTCCCCGTGGACCACTTTGTGGAACACTTGCTTCCCAGCCTTCTGAGCCTCGCATTGGACCCTGCGGGACCTGCTTGGGACACTGCTGGAGAAGGGTCTGTGGCACCCGGCACCCTCCTCACTTCGAAGAACAGCCACCAAAGATCGTCTGGCTCACTGTGGCAGGCTACAAGGCAGTGCATTTGGCCATTGGTCTGTGAATCAACATAGCAGCTTCAACCCACAATGTTTTTTATGTATGAAATGACAAAGGAATCGGATGTAACTCGGTCTGTATGTAATAAAAGTGTAAAATGTTTCATGGCTTTCTAGCAAGAAGGTAAGCGCCTTAACTTTTGAGTTAGGACGTGAAGGATTATGAAAAAGCAGACTTTGTCTCAGCTGCTATTGAATTGAAAATGATACTATTTTGTAGTCAGCAAACCCGGCCTAGCTAGTTATTATAAACTGGGATGAGGGAAGAGGCTTTATAGAAGCTGCACCACTCTTGGATGGCTCCATGTAGAAACAACTTCAGTTCTTCCACGTTTCTCAGTCCCCTCCACCAGCAGCTTGCCCAGCTCATTGTAATGTTTTAAGTAGGCCTATTAAGTATCTTTTGATGACATTTTATACTTGAAAGGATGATGTAGGGCTGTTCCATGAGAAGCAGTCTGCTGCCATGTGATGGCTGACACGGTCAGTCAGCAAGACTGCAGGGTGTTTGGGAACACAGTTCATGGCACATGGGATTCAAACTCTTGTCTTCTTTTCTTAGCTTATTTTAGAAATGCCGGAAACCCTCATCTTCAACGATGAAGAGACTGTCTTGACTTTGCAGTCTGATCGGGACCAAGATGTTTCCTTCTTTGCCACCCTGGAACCAAAGCGGCAGAATATTCTAGACTCTCCTGCAGTAGGCAAGCAGAGCTAGCTCCTCTTTGGTGCACTGACGGCGGTGTGGACAGTGGCTTGTCGAGGGAAGGAGGACTGGCTGTACATGTCAGTGGACAGGGAAGGCCTGCGCTTTCCTGCAGCCGCTCAGAGAGCCGGCCTCTTGTGACACACAGCCTGCATGCCCGAACCCCAGGGGCTTATTCCAAACAGTTGGCTGGCACCCCACTCCTCCACCCCTGTAGATTTGGTCTGCCAAAGGGCGGGGGCTCCATGCCAACAGACTGCGGCCAGCAATTTGCTTCTTTTGGACAGACTGTTATTTAACATCCCTTCCCGCCAGTAAAGTCACAGATTCATTAGAAGCTTATGTAAGTCTTCCAGAGACATACATATTTTCTTGTGCTTTCCTATAAAATATAGTTTATGGTGTTTTACTTTTAACTGAAATACTGTACATATGTAAATAACGCTTGACAGGAAGAAAATCTATGAATGGGCTGTTAGCTTCCCACAAGCAAGCTGAACAAATACATCATTTGAATTTATGTTCCACTTGAGTTACTGCAAGTATAGCTCCATTTGTTTACCTTTGAAAACCGTGGTAGTTCAAAGAGAACTAGAATGATTTATGGCAGCCTGTCTGATACTGTGCTTCTGGAACTTTCCCTCCGGTCCTTGGGCTTTCCCTTCTTGCAGAAATCTGTCCCAAGAAGTGTGCTGGTCTTCGATAAGGCAGAAGGCTGCTGGATTTCTCGTTCTGATGAGGAGTTTTGCCCCGTGTTAACACCTGGAGAGGAAGGCTGATAGTGAATGGCGGGCGGGGGTGCTGGCTTTCTCACACTTTGGCCTCCTCACAGAATTACGAAAGTGCAGCTGTGCTTAGAACTTGTCTGCAAATACAGAGATCTGGGGGCCAAATGAAGGGCTCTTCAGATCAACTCAAGTACACAGAACTTAAGATTTCACGCTCTTGAGTTGTGGACTAAAAGATGCTCTAGCCTTGAAAGCGAATTTTCACCAGGAATCCAAGGTTCTCTTAGCAGGTAGTTCTAAACAGGTGACTCATGCTTCTCATTCTGCTCTTACGTATGACAGTGAACAGGGAGGCAGGAAGAGCAGCCTCTTCACCACTCCCCTCTGCTCCTGCCTTTGTACGGATTTTCTTTCATTAAAAAATAAACTTCTTGAAGCTACATATTGAATTTCCTGCTTCAGGATACCGCTCCCAAGCCCCTGATTCCATTGAATTCATATTTTATAAAGAAAGGAAGGGGCCGATGCTGTGCCAAAGCAAACAAGGTGTATGTGTGTTTCAAATTGTAACACAGCATGTGGGTAACTTGGAGAGGTCAACACCATTAAAGTAGAGGCTGTGTAATTTTTTTAGGTCCATTGTGTTTAGTATGGGCCTAAATATTTATTTGCTCTCACAGTATCATTTTTTAATTGGTTACAAAGTGAGATTATCCTGTTAAAATCTGTTTTGAAACAACAACTAAGACTACTCAGCTGAAATTGTGTGTTTTACGCAGAGCTTCGTTTTCCATTAGGGACAAGGTGGGCCTCAGCTTGCGTTGTGAGGTGTGGAGTTTGCTTGTGGAATCACAGGCTCTGGTAAAGATGGCGAGACAGGTAAACTACCCAACCTTCGCGATTTGTTTAAATGGTCAAATTGTCTAACAATATGAATCCTCTCCATTGGAAAGTGGTTTTCTTTTTTAATGATTGATTTCTCTGCAAAGTCTTTTTCAAACCTACATTTTACTCTTCATGGCTGCCACCCAGGGTTTTTCTCAGGTGGTTGGCACCATGCCCTGCGCTCTGCCTGGCCACAGCCCCGGCCTGGCCAGCCCCTGTGAGTGCAGGGTGGATCGGTAGGGGTGGGTTGGCTTCCTGGACTCCACCCTCGGCTGGGGGGGATAGGGGCAGAGCTGGCTTTCTCAGCTGGACAGACCCCTGGCTGGCGGGATGTGGCATGCACAACACGTGTGTGTGCAGTGTTCAGTGTGCACAGTCTCCACACTTGTACAGGCACTTCAAGTGGGTGGGTCTGAATCCTTCCCTGAAGGTCTGCCCCCCCCCCCATCACAAAGGCCCACTCGTGCCCATGGGAGTTTACAGTGCAGGATGGATGGCCCCTCAGCCCGCCCAGGGCTCTGGCCTGCCCTCGCCAACCTCAGTGGGTCCCTGCCTGACACGATGCACGGAGGACCGCATGTGCACGCGTGAAGAAAGGGGCTGCCAACGTTTTCTTCCTCTGACCCCCATCCCGGTTTGCCCGGTGGAAGAGCGGCTGTTCAGGGTGTGGGGAAAGCAGGGTGCAGGCAAGTATCGATCTCGATGAACCCCCCGATGGCCCACAGGCACCACATCACTTAGGGGCTGACCCTGTTCTTCGCCCCTGGGCAAGAAGTGGGGGCCCGCAGGGCTAAGGGGGCGCAGGCCCAGGTAGAGGAGCAGACCCCGGCGGGGTGCAGGGCTCAAGTGGGGGCGCAGGCTCAGGTGGGGGCACAGGGCTCAGGTAGGGGAAGCAGGCCCAGGCAGGGCGCAGGGGGCAGGCCCAGGCCAGGGGCAGGCCCTGGCGGGGCTCCGGCCTGGGCAGGGCGCAGGACCGGGCGGGGCGCAGGCCGGGGCGGGGCGCAGGCCCGGGCGGGGCGCAGGGCCCCGGTTGCCAGCATCACAGTCGGGCGGTGATGACGCGGCCGCCAGTCGGAGGGCGCCATGCAGCAGGTGCGGGCCGCGGACCGCGGGACGCTGCCCGGGGACACCCTGTGCGGGGCCCGCGAGGCCCAGCTGGGCAGGCCCTCCGGCCGGGGCCGGGGCCGCAGCCGCGGCAGGCCGCGGACGTTGGACCCGCAGGCGGTCCTCGCGTCGCTGGACACGACCCCGGCCGAGTTCTGCATGCGGGTGCGGCTGGAGGAGACCGGGGAGTTCTTCCGCCTCCCCAACTGCCGCAGCGACATGACAGTTCGGGAGCTCAAGGAGGAGCTGGACCTCATGGCGGGCGTCCCCTTCAACATGCAGTGCCTGCACTACCTGGACCAAGGTGGCCGCCGCCCTGCCCGCCCGCCCGCCCGCCCGCCGCACGCTCCTGGGACCCCGCCCCCCGGACCCCTCGGGACCCTGGGCCCCAGGACCCTGCACCACATGTCCCGGGACCCTGTCCCAGAGTGGGGCCCAGATCTCAAAACTATAGCAGAACGTTCCAGAAGCCCAGGCCCCTCTCCCTCAAGCCTTCATGTCCCCATCCCAGTGCCAAGCGTGTCCACACAACGCTGAACTTGGAGTGAAGCCTGTCCTTAGCAGGAGCTCCCCAAACCAAAGAACCCCACACTCAAAGCTGCTGGTGCCCTAGTCAGAAATTCTACTAAACCAGAACAAACCTGCCCAAGACTGGACCCCAGACCTCCAGGCCAAACCCTCAAACATCCATTGTATCCACACCAAGATGCTAAATCAACCCATTCCAGGTCCCCCAAACCCAGAACAACCAACTCAACAACCCTAAGTTTTTATGTGACCACCCATGAAGCAAAAAGAAAAAAGTGCACTGTAGGACCCCAACAAAAAAAAAACAAAACAACACAAACACAGCCAATGTGGCCAAATTTGAATTCCAAGCCCCTAGATTCTGACAACCTCAGAAGGCTGACCCCTCCCCAGTGGTGATGTCCACACTGAGCGCAAGGCTGAACAAACCTGTACCATCTTAAAAAATCATAGACCAAATCCCCAGTGACCACCACTGGGAACCCAGCTCCTCCAGCCACATTGTTCCCAAAAGATGCCAAAGAATAAAACCTGCTGCCCACCTCGGGACCAGCAAACCAAAGCCAAGCCCAGCCTAAGAGCTCAGTCAGGATTTAAAATGAGCCTTGCTGGCAGCTGGGCCCCCAAATTCACAGCAAACTGTATTTGAAACCCAGATTCTTTAGTTAAACCTGCCCACCAGAACCTAACATTCTAAACCAAACCCCACCTATGTCAGGGTCCCAAATCTTGAAGTAGACCCTATCAGCCTCAGGACCCCCAAATCTCAGGGCAGACTGGCCTGATTCCTGCCTGCCCCCCCCTTCCTCCCAGGGCTCCATTAGAACTGCAGTTCCCCAAACACAACCTGCACATACAAGGGCTTCCAGTCCCAGAACAGAACAGACCCTCCCTAAAGCCAGGACCCCTAAATGGACAGACCTGGCTCTCACCAGAACCCCAAACCTAGAGTAAATTCTGCCCTTACCAGGGACCTCCAAGAAAACCCTGTCCACCTTTGACCCCCCTCCCTGAATACTGGCACTAACCCAGTCTGTATCAGAACCCCACATTCCAATTTATGTCGTTGGCTACATCAGAAGCTCAAAGTTGGAGCCATCAGAATCAGAACCCTGTACCCAAAGCTCACTGTACCTCAGGACTCCAAGACCCCTCCGTCCCAACAGATCACACACAGGAGGTAACGAATGAAGCTGAGGGCCATGTGGCCTGGCTCTCCCTCCATCTGTCTCCTGCCCACCCTATCCTGAGCCTCCTACACTATTTAGGATATGGGTATAGGCTCTATTTGCTCAGACAAAATCAAGGCAAAAAAATAAAAACATAAGAAAACATTCTCTGTGCAACAGCCCAGAGATGGTGAAGTGCTGATCTTACAGAGATCACCATGGTGCTACAGGGCTGTGAGCCAGATCTGAGCATGGCTGCACCCACCAGCTCACTGCCCGCTCCCCTTCCTTGCCTTAGTCTCCGAGTTTGCTACAGCCCAGTTCCATAAAGTCTAGAGTTCTCGGTGCTCTTCCTCTGGACAGAAATGACTCCAATCTCCCAAAGCATAGGGAAGGCCTGAACTCCTGGCTCCGTGCTCTTTATGGTAGGTTAAATGGTTTTCATGACATACTTCTTTTCCTATAGGTGCATTTGAAAGATGCCGAGGTGGGGGTGAATTTGGAAGGCTTTATTTGGCTAGAAGCTGCCCTTGCCAGGCTTACGCCTATAATCCTCACTACCGTGGAGGCTGAGCTCTGAGGATCCCCACTTAAAGACTACTTAGTTAACCACCGAAAAGCTGGAAGGGGAGCTGTGGCTCAAGTGGTAGAGCAGGAGCCTTGAGCCAAAACAGCTCAGGGACAGCTCCCCAGGTCCTTGAGTTCAAGCCTCAGGACTGGCACCAAAACAGAGAAGTTGCCTCTTGAGTCTAGTCTGTACTGAACATGTTAACAAGGTGAGCCATTGAAGAAGAAAATTAGGTCCCCCGGTGCAAGCATCTGGAAACCTTCGGTCCATTTGCTTTCACTGACAAGCTATGCTGATAGTCAGCCCCAGGAGGGCTGGATGGGAAGGGGAGATGTGTGGGCACTGATGTCACAATCCAAGGTCTCCGTGGTCACTGAGCAAGCCCTCGGAACTTTGCAGCCCCTGTGCTTAGTCCTCGTGGCTTGTGCAGGAGGGACTTGGACCAGAGCCTGTAAATAATGGCTGACCTGGCTTCTGCCCACCTGAAAGGCTGACCAAGGTGATCCGATGAGGTCATGTGTATGGAAACTCAAAGCTGCACAAATCTAAAAGCAGTGAGCATGTGCACGGGTGGAGAGTCAACCTTCCACCTGGTAGTAATGGGTGTTTGAGCCAAGGCAGGGTCTGCCTATCTATCAAGGGATGAGCTGGGCAGCAAGAGCTGGGCAGTGTGTGGTGGTGGACTCTGCCTTTCTCGGGGATGAAGCTTTCCTCAACATCGTTAGGAGCTCAGATTGTCCCAGACGAATCGTTGGTTGACTGTGGTCAAACCACAGATAGGACCCTAACAGCACCCTTGGTGCATGGTGGTCTCCATCTAGAACCTCCTAGCTTTGTAGCTAGCAAATGGAGCAACTGAGCCCTGAGCACACCAAAGGAGGCATGGAGAGAGGAGGGGCTAGCCCCAGATTGCTCCCTGGTACACGAGGTCCACGTGCCTTAGAGAGTCGTTATGAGGCTTAGAGAATGGAGCGCTTAGCATAAGCACTTGGTAAGTGATCACTAAATACTTTGCACACAAGCCCACAGCACTTATGAATGTCACTCAAGATGATGATGATGATGGTGATGATGTTCTTCCTCCCGTTTGCTGCCAGTGTTGAGACTAATGCCAGCACTAGAACTTGAACTCAGGACCTCACACTCTTCCCTGATTTGGTGCTCTATCACTTGAGCCTTGCCTCCACTTTCGGCTTTTTGCTGACTCAGTGGGGATAAGAGTCTCAGATTTGGCTTCCCAGGCTGGCTTTGAACTGTCATCTTCAGATCTCAGCCTCCTGAGTAGTTAGGATGATAGGTGTGAGCTCCCAGCTCCCAGCTACTTTATGCTTCTTACTGCTTATGAGAACAAAGCAAACAACAGAGGTGGCCCGAGAGAAACCATGTGCATGTCACAGAGAAACCAAACGCCTGGAGACTGGACGTCGTGCTGAGTGATAGGCCCACAACAGCTCCGACACGTTCAGTCCAAGTACCCAGCTTCTTACACGGAGCCCAGGAGCCGTGGCACTGCGCACGGACTTCCTGAGTGGCACACGCCAGTGGTGGATGCCGCTGGAATTGGGGGTAGAGAGGCCAAGGAGGCATTTTCCGCATCCAACCGTCTGCCATGCCAGCGTGGAGAAGTCGTCTGAAAGATCCAACAATTTTGTTTGGGTCACATCGGTAGGCACGTCCTGCCACTTGCCAGCGCTGGTGTTTTGGTTGAACACAGATAACGCGCGAGAACACAGTGCTCCATCATTAACGGAACGTCAGGTTCCGGCCACTCCGTGTGTAGACTTTAGCTCATCAAATAACAGTCCTGACTCATGTGTTTTCCAGCAATGGGATAATTACAGAATTTTATAAATTGGTGCCATTGGTTTGTGTGCGTGTGTGTCCAGCTTCTATCTGAGCTGGGCCAAATTAATTTTCTAAAAAGCATTAACCACAACAGACAAAGAGACTCATGTGGAATCATCCAGTGAGATTTTTTGGTTCTAGATTCTCAAAGGATCTGAGTTTAAAATACCCAAGGTCAGATCATCTCTTAGAAAACGCAGCTGATGTTGTTTTTTCCTTTCAGACCCAACATTTTTCTTTCTCTTTTTTCTTTTGGTCGGTTGTGGGGCTTGAACTCTGGAAGAGCTGTCCCTCAGCTCTTCAGCTCAAGGCGAGTGCTCTACCACTTGAGCCACAGCGCCACTTCCGGGTTTCTCGTGGTTCATTGGAGATCAGAGTATCATGGACTTTCCTGCCTGGGCTGGCTTTGAACCATGATCCTCAGATCTCAGCCTCCTGAGTAGCTAGGATGACAGGCAAGAGCCACCGGCACCTGGCTCAACTTATTTTTCTTTTTAAAGGAAAACTTGTTCCCTGTAGGAATTTTGCTGGACAACACCACACTGAAGTTCCATGACATGGTCCCGGGCGGTATCATCTCGCTGGGCATCTGGAATCACGATGGCTGGGCAGATCTGTTCCTGGCGGCGGCAGAGGGAGACCCCAGCAAGGTGCTTTCATGATTGGCTGCGGGGGGGGGGGGGGGAGGCGCGGTTTCGAGCGGATGTCTCATGGGTGGGGGGCAGGGAGATGACCCCCTCAGCATGGCCTCCCACCGACCCCCTCCCGCCTTGTGCTGAGGGGAGGGGGACCCCACTGTCTCCCCACCCCTGAAGGTGTCCTGCTCAGGGCATTTTCTCCCCTTGACTTGACAAAGTTGACAAGCAGCCGAGATGTCAGCCCAGGGCTCTGGTGTGAAAATACACGCAAGGCCCTGCTGGGCGGGAGGGAAGCGGGATAAAGACCACCAGGGTGTTGACCCAGCGGGAGAGGACCGCTGGCAGCACAGGTGCGCGCTCCTTCCATAGGGGACCTGGGGGGGGGGGGCTCTGAGCTCCCCAGGAAGGGAAGAAGGGTCTGAGGGCCAGGCAGGGTCAGGACTCCAGCAGCCGTCCGTTCCCCCCACCCCCGCACCCTCAGACCTTGGCAGGGAGGGGGCGCCTAGTCCCCACTCTTCCACTCCCTCCCAGGTCCTTCCTGGCTTTTCCCCTTCTTGAAGGTACAGAGACGACAGCCGTCACACCATCCTCCTGCCCTGCCCCTTCTGCTCCCCCGGCCAGCTCCACCCCTGACCCTGGACCCCGGGACAGAATGCCTCCTTGTGGGGTGCTGGGGACAGCTGTTCCCATCCCCACAGCTCTGAGAGCTGAGCTGAGGGCTCCCAGAGCCAGTGGGGACACTGGGAGGAAAAGAGCGGAGGCCCAGAGCCTCTGCCGTGGCCCTCCCCTTGCTCCTTGGCCGGGCCGTGCTGGGGGGGACATTGGTGGGGACCCCCCGCCCGCCCGCCCCAGCTAACCACGGGCAGGGACAATGTCCCGCGCCGCCTCCACGTGCCCTGGCTTGGGTGGCGCAGCCTGCCTGGCCCGGGACAACTGAGACTAACCCGATGTGCCCCCCCCCCCGTGCGCTCCCCCCCACTCCCTCCCCAGCTGTCCTCCCTGGGCATCAGCGAGGACTCCTCCTTCCGCACCGCGCACGCCCAGGCCCTGCGGGGCGAGCAGTGGACGCAGTGGGTCTCCCAGCGGGCCTTCGTGGCCCTCTACATCACCTCCCACAGGGGCCACGTGGAGGCCGTGCAGTACCTGCTAGAACACGGTAACTGTGCTGCCTGAATGCCCAGGGGGTCACCTTAGAAAGGCGGAGGGCCCCAAGTCTCGACACCCTCCTCACACGGACCCCAGAGCCCCGTCACACGCGAGGCCTTCCCAGGGCCAGTTTTCTAGAAGATTCTGTTGCAAGGAGATGGAAATCGCAGGGTCTTTGTGGCTCACACGACAGTCACGTGCCAGGAAGCGCGTTCTGTCTCTCTGGGAACGCAGGCTAGCCCAGGGTGGCAAAGGCCCGGTGGTCAGCAGGCTAGCCCAGCTCTTCACCTTCTAACGTTTCCTCACTCCAGAGGTTCTGCTCACCCCACCTCTGCCCCAGGGCCGCTGTGCTGTCCGTGTGTCTGTCCATAAACAGAGGCTCTGGCCAGTATTGTCCCTGAGCCAAGGCCTTTGCTCTGCCCTGAATCCACGCACTCATGGAGGTGTAAGGCGTTCCTAAGGGCGCCTCCGTGCAGCGCTCCTCTCAGCACGGGGTGCTGGTGTCTGGGGTCTTTCACACGAGGGCCCCTTCCTTCCACCCTTTCCCAGCTCCTTCCTTGCCACCTGCCTGCTTCCTCTGGGCGGTGAGGAGAAACCTCCAAGCTTGGGGGGGCTGACGGGGCGGGGGCTCCTCTGTGGCCTGTCTGCCTCTTGCTCGGTGGTGATTTGAAAGAGGGCCTTGACCAGCCCGGTGGCCTTTTGAGTCATCCTCAGCCACCCTTGCCTGATGTAACTGATGTCATCGGAGGTTAGGAAATGACACCAACTTCGCACCGGCTTGTGTCCTGTGCCGGGCGGAGGCCGGCGTAGCTCGCACACCAGCCGTAGCTCTTCCAGGCCGGTGACAGAAAGGCCCATGGAATTTAATTGAATTGCCTTCAATTCCGCAAGTCCACTTTCAAGGCCTGGCACTGGCTTGTGCATCTGCAGGAGGCCAAGAGCAGCCACGGCCTTGTGCCAGTCGAGCTGGGCACCGGGGAGCAACAGCAGCTGCCCTTGGGGAGCTGAGGAGGGGAAGCCAGGACCTTAGACAAGTAATTGTCATGAACAGAATACTCTGGAAGACACAGGGTTGCTATGGAGCTCGTACAGGGAGGAGTGAAGGAAGGGGTTCTTGAGGAAATGGTTCTGAAATCCACAGACAGGTGTGAGCTCTGGGGGTGAGGATGTTGTTTGCAAGATGAGCAGCATGTGCAAAGGGCCTGCAGCAGGATGCAGAACGCAGTTCTGCAGACGAGAGAAGGCAGGTATAATTGGAGCCTTGGCTGGGTTTGATGGGAAGCGTATGAGTAGTTCTTCAGTAATACAGACGGAGTGGGGTGCAATAGAGCCACAGAGCTGTACATCCCCCCGCCACCCCCGGGTTGGGATGGGGTTTGTGGAGTCTGAGCAGGAGGCTGAGATGGGTGTGTGGAAAGGTCACTGGCTGGAGGCCAGGACTGGTGGGGTTGAGCGGGGGGGCAGGGGGGAGGTGGCAAGGCCCTTGGGGACGGTCACGCCCTCTCCCCAGCTCTGTGCCCCCCTGGCCTCGGGGTCCTGGCCCCGGGGCGGAGGCCTGCTCAGCCGGCTCTCCTCTGTCCATCACAGGAGCCAGCTGTGTCAGCAAGACCCCGGTGGGCAGGACGCCCCTGCATGCGGCGGCCGCCATGGGCCACACGGACTGCATCACCCAACTCATGCAGCATGGGGCATCTATCCACGAGAGGGACGCGCACGGGGAGTCGCCCATCAGCATGGCGCGCCGGCTGCACCGCAAGCAGAGCGAGCGCAGGATGTTCCTGCTCTACTGGATGTCCAAGAGCAGCGCCAAGGATGACGCCGGCCTGGGCGACCCGCTGCCAGACCCCAAGGCCCGCTGAGCCGCCCGCCACGCTGGGCAGGCCAGGCCCGGCCCGGAGTGGACCGGGCTGCCCTGCTTGCAGAGGGGCTTGGGGGGCGCGGGTGCACGTCCCGTGAGTGACCCCTTACACTCCTACCGGGACCACACCAGCCTTTCGTCGCAAGCTATTTGCACACAGCACACCGTGGCCTCCCCCCCCCCTGGGGAGACCGTGGAATGCCCTGGAATCCCAGGACAAGCAGGGGGACTGTGGCACAGGCGTCCAGAGGCCACGTGGGCTGTGGAACACGCCGAATCCTATGCTCCCGCTGTGTGGACATTTAGAAGCTACGTCAGACTGTCTGGAGGGCTGGGGAGCAGAAGGGAGGCGAAGCGGGGCTGTGCCTTCCCAAACATGGTCACCAAGTGGGACGTCTCGGTGCCCTGGTGGTGCGGTGCCGTGTGACCCGAGATGTGAACCAAGGTGCTGGCAGCACCTTCTGCCCTCCAACCCCTTCCCTTCTTCCCCGGGGGCCAGGCTGCCCCAGGACTCCTGCTCAGCCTTGAGCTGAGCATAGACTAGGAGGACGGTAAAGATGGGCCACAGTCTAAAAAGGGCACTGGGACCCAGCTGCAGCAAAATACCAGCCAGAGGTTTAGTCTGGAACCTTCTAGAACATTCCATAGTTTTCTGATTGGGTACCTCCTTTTTTAATGTCAGCTTGATGTTTGGAATGCTTGCTCTTGGAAGGATATTCCTCAGAAAACAGACTCCACTGAGGGGTGTAAGAAGATAGGAATTAGGTCCCCCCTAGAAAACTCTGTGCACCTGGGCTGCTCTGGGTGACTGCAGAGGTCACCCCGGAGCGTGCAGTGTGGGGGAACAAGGGGCCAGCTTCCGCCAGACACACACAGGGTGTGCTCACAGGGGAGAGGCGATCTGAGGCGCCCCATGCGTCTGCTGATGCTTAACTGATGTCACCAAGAAAGTGCTAGAAAGACCCTAAGTCTCCACTGGGGGCAATCCACAGCGCTGAGAACACAGTCAGAAAGCAACCAGAGGGCTTTTCTGTTCCCCAAAGCCTGGTACCCCAACACTACTTCTGGGCAAAGGCTCCCGCATGCAAGCTGGCTTTCGCATGGTGAGTGGTTCGGCTGCCATTGGCTTTCCTCCTGACCACTGGCTCTGGCTTTCAAACAGCTGACCCTGACCCTGACCCTGGGTGGCGGGCACCCAGCATGGCCTCACAGTGGCCTGCGTGGCCAGGCTGGGCCCAGGCATCTAGTTAACAGATGATAGTCAGGGAAAAATCGGTCCCCACCAGCCGCATCCAAATGGAGACCTTGTTTGGCAGACGCCTTCCAAAGTCAATAGGCAGATATTAAATGACTCAGCGGGGGACAGTTCATTAGCTAATGAGCTGCGGGGGCGGGGCACACTTTTAACTAAATAAGTGACATCCCTCCAAGCCCGGTGCTGGCCGGAGCTCTGCTAAGCTGTCTTGATTGTTAAGCGAACCACCTACCTGGCACTCAGACCCACGGTTTTGGGGTTTTGGGACCAAGCCCTCTGTTTTGCTGTGCCCCAATTCAATTAGACACTTGGCCACACATCCGGCAAGTTCTAAACTCTCCTGGGGACCTTTGCTAACGACAATCTAAGCACCTGCATTAGGGACAAGGGCAGGGGGCAGAGATCAACCACCATGTGCTGTCTGCGTGCCCAAGGCCCTGGGCTCCAGCCTGAGCACACACACATAGACACACACACGCACACACACACACATGCGCACATACACGTGTACACATTTGCACACACCACACATAATTCATTAACACATGCACATGCATGCGCGCAAACGTGTGTACACACACGCACATGTACCCCGATTACAATAAACCTGTGTCATGTACAAGTTGCTCATAACCAGGCTGACTTGAGTTATCAATGACATGTTCGGTTTGTAGCTGCTCCATACTTGGGGATTCACAGAATGAAAGAAACTGGTGGAGATGGACCTTATTTTTGTGGGGGTCATGGGGTGGCCTGGGGGGCCCCCTCCGTGTGGAGGGGATGCACATCGCCGGGGGCTTTGTGTACACGGGTGGGCCCTCGGGTTCCCGGGGCACGAGCTACTCCTGACGGTGGAGACCTGGGGGAGGGGCACGTCTGCATGGACCTCAGAGGGTGCTGGGCCCTGGGCGTGAGCCCACTGCAGCAAGCCGGGGTCTCCTGCGGAGGAAGGAGGGGGCTGCTCACGTCGGGGTGCAGCAGGAATGAAAAGGGCTGGGATGCACTGGGGCTTTAGAGGGGGCCTGGCCGATTCCCCTGGCCTGGTGCAGTAGACCAGGCTCCCGGGCCTCTGGCCTGTGCTGTGGCTGACCAGACGCAAGCGCTGCTCTGGGCGCCATCTGTTGGCCGCTCTGGGCGCGGCATCGGGGTCTCTGGCTGCACTGCGTGTCTTTGCAGTGTCTGCGGCAGTCGCCTCCCCCACCTAAATCCAGGGGTCCAGAAGGGCAGGGCCCCCTCCTCCCCCGCTGACCTGGGGACCTGTGGCCCGGCCCTCTCCTTCCCAGCCTCCCTGGCCGATGGGAGCCATCCGTAGGACCTGTGTCCTGGAGACCCCAGGGCGCACCAGGAAGGGCCTGAGCTTCCAGCCCGGCAGGTCTGGCCTTAGAAATGTCCTGTCGCCAGTTCCCCGGGCCAAGCAATGGCCCTTCTCTGTGCCTCAGTTTCCTCGTGTGAAATAGTTGGGTATGAAAACCTGCTCCCCCCGTGGGGACTGGTGTGCCGCCGCCTGGGAAATATTGGCTATGATTCTTATGCTTATTCCCACCGCGGAATTGGCTGGCCACGCTCGCTCCCTGGGAAGCAAGTGCCCTCTTTCAGGGGAGAAGCTCATAAATAAACGCTCAGCGAAACCCTACACAATAAGAGTCTCCTTCCAGAATTAATAATTCCCCAAGTGGGGGCTCAGTCATTGCCTTTCTGCTCTCGGGGTTGGGAGTTAAGGAGAGGAACGCCCCAGCTACTTGCAGAGGGAAAGAAAGAGAGAGAGAGAAAAGAAAGAAAGGAAGAAAGAGAGAAAGTAAGGAAGGAAAGAGAGAGGGAGGGAAGGAAAGAAAGAGGGAGGGAGGGAAGGCAAGAGAGAGAGAGATAGAGGGAGGGAAGGAAAGAGAGAAAGGAAAGGGGGAAGGAGGGAAGGAAAGAAAGAGACAGAAAAGAGGAAGGAAGGAAGGAAGAAGGAAGGAAGGGAGGAAGGAAGGGAGGGTGCGCTGGGAACTGGAGCCAGCTCTGCGGCAGAGGATGGAGAGAGGAAAATTCCAGCCGCCGGAGGCCTGGGCGGCGCGGGGCGGGGCGGAAGCTCAGCACACAGAAGGCCGTTAACATTTAGACAGACGCTGTGTTTGTGTCGCTGCAAATGTCATCGATGCTGCTGTCACCAGGCACGTGGAAGCAAGGCTGGGTCCCAGGGGACCCGGGGCTGGCCTTTCTGCCTGGACCCCTAGAACAGCCTGCAGCTAGGCAGAATGTTGGGGTACACACATGTCACCCTCATGGCACTCAAAGGGCTGCGCCCCTTCCTCAGCCCCGGGTTCCAGCATCCAGACCCTGAATAAGAAGCTCCGACTCCAGCCCCGGAGCAAGTCCGTGGGGTCCAAGTGCCGTGGCCTATGTGGTCTGTGCACAGCCTCAGTTTACCACGGGGAAGATGGTAAGCAGCAATGGCCTCTGGGCAGTGTGGGGGCCGGGGGAGGGTCTAGGGACGTGGGTACTCCCCGCCAGGCTGCAGCCCACAGACAGAAGAGGACCTGGCCAGCCCACAAGGGTTGTCGGGCACCATTTGCCGCTGTTCAGCGCTGACTTAGCTGGGCATGGGGCTTCACACGCAGAACCCCAGCTCCTCCCCAGGCAGAGGTCAGGATTGCTGCTAGAAGCCTGCCTGGAAATGCTCTCGAGACCCCATGTCAACAGACGAGAACGGGGCTGGGGGGCGGTGTGCCTGTCACCGCAGCTGTACATCTCAGGCTCACGTGAAAAGTAATAAAGCAAAAAAAAAAGCTGGTGTTTGGCTTAAGTGGTCAAGCACCCGCCTGACAAAGGTCCTGAGTTCAAACTCCGTTAGAGAAATGACTTGGGGCAGGGATGTTGCTTGGTGGTAGAGTGCCTGCCTAGCGTGCATGAGGCCCTGGGTTCGACTCCTTGATAGCACATACACAGAAAATAAAATAAAAAGGAAAAGTAACCATTAAAAAGGATCTTAAGGGGCTGGGAAGGTGGCTCAGTGGTAGAGCACTTGCCTTGCATGCCTGAGGCCCTGGGCTTGATTCCTCAGCACCACATAAGCAAAAAGAAAAAAGCCAGAAGTGGCACTGTGGCTCAAGTGGTAGAGCGCTAGCCTTGAGCTGAAGAGCTGAGGGACAGCGCCCAGGCCCAGAGTTCAGGCCCCACGACCGGACCCCCCCCCCCCCAAAAAAAAGATCTTAAGCCAGGCACTGGTGGCTCACACCTGTCATCCTAGCTTCCCAGGAGGCTGAGATCTGCCAGCCCAGGAAGAAAAGTCCCAGTGAGACTATGATCTTCAATTAACTACTCAAAAACTGGAAGTGGCGCTGTGGCTCAAAGTGGTAGAGCGCTAATCTTGAGCAAAAGAGCTCAATGACAGTGCCCAGACCCTGAGTTCAAGCCCTGCAACCACCACCACCAACAAAAAAGAAATGACTTGACCTGCAGGTATCAGCTAGAGGCTGCCACGGGGTGTCAGCTGTGTCACGAAGCAGCAGCAAACTGCCCAGGAGGTGGGGGTGCTCAGAGTCACTGTACAAGGAACCTCTGTTTACTTGACTATAAAGGCTGATATCAAAGGCCCCAAAACGCAGCTGACCCTGCTTTAGAGACGCATGTTGATTTATACACCTGAAAACATGGCAAAACTAGCTGCCCTCTTTTTCTAGTGTGAAAATACATATAAAAGCTGGGCACAGGTGGGTCATGCCAGTAATCCTAGCTATTAGGAGGCTGGGGTCTGGAGGATCACA